GAAACAAAGAAGGCATTGAAAGAAATGAAAAACAACAAATCGCCTGGAAAAGATGGCGTAACTACAGAGATGCTGAAATATGGTGGAAAAGTGGTAATTAATACTCTACATTCCCTTTTTAACAGGATATTAAAAGAAAAAAGAATCCCAAACAACTGGAAGGAATCAGTAACCATTATCCTACACAAGAAAGGGGATAAAGCAGATATAAAAAACTACCGTCCTATAACACTCCTCAATGTAATGTATAAACTCCTAACAAAAATTTTAACCAATAGATTGACGACAAAATTCGATGGATACCAGTCGAAAGAACAAGCTGGTTTTAGAAAGGGATTCAGCACAACTGACTATTTACTAAGTATGAAAATACTTATAGAACGAGCAAATGAATACCACATTCCTCTATATATGGCGTTCATAGATTTCGAACAGGCTTTCGACAGTGTCGAACATTGGGCAGTGAAAAGTTCTTTGATTAACAGCCGAATTGACCACAGATATACGGAACTAATAACCAATATATATATATATATATATAATATATATATATATATATATATATATATATATATATATAAGGAAGACAAAACAAAAATTAAAGTATATGAAGGAACAAAATCACTACAAATAAGTAGAGGCGTGAGACAGGGTGATACAATATCACCGAAACTTTTCAGTCAGGCTCTTGAAGATACTTTTAAAAGATTAGAATGGGAAAAAAAGGTATAAAAATTTGTGGACAACGCTTGAACCATCTAAGGTACGCTGATGACATCGTATTGATAACCGATAAAAAAGATGAATTATTTGAAATGATAAAAGAACTGGACGTAGAAGCTGGAAAGATAGACCTTAATATGAATTACAGCAAGACCAAAACTATAACAAATACAGATGAAGACATCACAATGAGAATCGGACAAGATGAAATAGAACAAGTTAAGGATTATATATATCTTGGTCAAACTATAAAACTTAACAAAGAGAACCAAACAGCAGAGATCAAGAGACGAGTTAGACTGGCATGGGCGGCATTTGGCAAACTAAGCTACATTCTTAAAAACAAAAGATATCCACAGCATCTTAAGACCAAAGTATATAATCAATGCGTACTCCCTGTTCTTACGTATGGCTCCCAAACGTGGACATTTACAAAAGCAAACATGGACAAAATCATAAAAACCCAACGAGCAATGGAAAGACAAATGTTGCACATAAGACTAATGGATATGAAGAGAAACGAGTGGATAAGAGAGAAAACAAAAGTGAGGGATGTTAGACAAGAAGTTGCAAAATTGAAATGGAGATTTGCCGGACACAATATAAGACAAAAAGAAGACCGATGGAACAAAATTCTTATAAGTTGGAGACCGTGGGAATATAAACGAAGCAGAGGAAGGCCCCAAATGAGATGGGCAGATGATATCAAGAAGCACGTGGGCTCTAGATGGATGACTGTTGCGACAGACAGAGAAGAATGGAAAAGGATTGGGGAGGCCTATGTCCAAAGATGGACCGAAGAAGGCTAATTAGATAGATAGATAGACAAATAACTTTGTAATATCATTAAGATTAAGATTTTCTAAAATAAAATGTTACTTACGTAAGTCTTTATAATAATAGACTTTTCAGTTAGGGACACAAAGATGTATCTCCGCTACTTTATCTAATTGTTGATATTTTGAAAACACAATTTATCCATTGTTGCGTATGATTGTATTTCCGTAAAGAAAACATTTCCAAGATTAATAATTCGAAACAAAAAAGTTGAGAATAAACTACACGTCATTATAGAATGCAAATATTTTTTTGAACCCTTAAATAAGCTATCCTGAAAAGTAGTCACTTTTGAGATACATTTTTGTGTCACTAAGCCGATGATAGATCACTGTCGGTTTACTTTATCCTAATCTTTTAAAAAAAGTCTTTATAATTACAAATATTAAAATGTTCAATTCCGCATCAAATATTATATTCTCGTACTAAGTTTATAAACATTAAACATCATACTGATCATACTCTCCGATTTTACTAAATCTTTTAATATCCATGTCTCTAACCAACAATAAACAACAATATTTAGGTTATTTTATCAAATAACTTTTTATTCAGTACTTTATTTGGCAAATAAATAGTTTATATTTTATATGTCAAATAATTTTAAATCTAAACTAACATAAAACTTCATATTACATTGTATCAAATTGTACCTTAAAAATATTAATAATAATAATTAAAATAATTATATTAATGTAATTAATATTTTTGTATTAATAATTAAACGTGTCGTTTCAAGGTTGAAATGTCAGTAGTTCATATTTCTTTGTTCAGATGGCGTTAAGATTTTAAATCTAAACTAACATAAAGTTTTAAATTATTTTGTATTAAATTCTACCTTAAAAATATTATTAAAATTAATTACTAATTATAATAGTATGTAATTAGTACAGTATTATCAATTAAAGGTATCGGTTCAAGAACAAAATATGATTGAAATGTCAAAAGTTGTATTGTATGTATGTAAAATCGTATTTAAATTATGTGTACAAACTTGTGATATAATAGATTCAGAAAATCCAAAAAGAGGCGCCAGATCTGAAAGTCTGTTATGGTACGTAAATATTCGAAATATATATATATATATATATATATATATATATATATATATATATATATATATATATATATATATATATATATATATATATCGCTTCTATCTAAATACAAAAGAACCACAAGTCAAAATAAGCAAATTGTATAGGAGAGGCATTTACAAAAATAATTTGGATTACTTTATAATTTTCGTATAAACTATGTGTAATAGGTAGATTTTTTTGGTATTAAAAGGTGCGTAACTAAATAGCCTATATATCAATAAAGCAATCTTAACCATAGCTCGAATGGACTGTCGAAAAAATGCAAATAAGTTAATTTTGTATATAGACTTTGACGTCGAGAATGTAGAAATTACCTATAGTAGTAGATAAGAGGAATAAATTTACGTTAAAAACAAAACTTAACCTTTTAAGCAAAAACCTTTAGGAGAAGCAGAGGTAACTTTATCTTAAAATAGTATTATTAGCAGTTATAGTCTTATAAAATAAGGCACTAAGGAGAAAGACACCTTCAAAATAATCATTTCCATGATCTACACTAATCACAACCGTATAAAGCACATAACCGTGGATCTTACAAAAATATTTTTATAAAACGTTTTCTTAAAACTACATTGAGCGTAATGCTCGTAAGGGATAAAAAAAAACTTAACGAAAACATTAAAAATCAGTTAACAACAGTAACTTGTGCACTAATTTAGAGATTATCATAAAAAGATTAATAAAATCTTGGCACTACGTTTTTTTTTGGATTAGCTTTAGAATGCCTTGCTTCTTTGCTTCAGGAACTGTAAGCTTTTCAGTGTAAAGTTGGTTTAAAGTAAAATTATTATCAGGCACTGCCGTTGACTTCGTGCGGCGTGTTCTCAACGTAGATACCGACCTGAACTCTTCCTCTTCGTAGGAACTTTTAAAGAAAAATATACCATTGCTTACTTTATCCGCCTTCAGAATCTTTATATCGGTCCATTTGAATTTATTGCCATCATCATCTATATTGTAGTTTCCTGTACACAGAGGTTTGAGGTCAAAAAAATTCTCATGTGTCAGTTCTTCAACAGTATAAGGCTTTCCAATTTTCTTTGCTGTTTTAATCAGAGTGATATACTGGTCTGGAACGTAAATTGGAGACGATTTCAATGCTCTCGTAATGTTACGTTGGATGACAGAATGAACAGAGTCTCCTTCGTTTTGGGTGTGCCCTTTTATTAGGAACTTATGAATAATACTCTTGATATTTGGCAATTCTTGAGTTGCGTATTGGTACATTGTCAGCATGAATTTGTTCTTTTGTTGGCCACAGCAATTATCGCTATAGAAAGTGACATCACAAGGTTCCGTCACATTGTTATTTAATTTTCTAAGATACATTAGAACACAGGAGCCAATTTCATTAATACCTCGGGCTCCTTCTCCTTCGTGCCATACAAAACAAGTTGTGTTCTTTGTACCGAGCTCGGTTACTGTGAAATTAAGTAGATTTAATTTAGACGTATAATAGAAGCTCGACACATCACCCCGTGGACAAGGCATTACCGCTTGGTGGTCGTACACAGCCACTACGAAGGTATTACTCACAAGCTCTTTATCTCTATCTTTTTCAGCGATTTATTAGTATTATATTCAGTATTAACGATTTATCTTCAGCGTTTTGGTAAGCCATCCTATCTTCGCATTGATACTTCTTGGGCTGCCAGAAAGATAAGTTAAAATCATGTATAAATATGTTGTAGTATACTTGATATGAAACGTGTGGTCTACCTTCAGATTCACATTTGTGTACGTAATGTCGATGTAGTGCCGCGACTGTTAACCCGCCCTCAATATACTCCCGAGTCGATCGCGACCTACAGTAATGACTTTCTATGCGGGGTATTGAATTGATGTGTGCTTTGACACCATCGGTCAGCTCTGAGTCTAGTGTCTTATGGTTGTTATGTTTTCCCCTGTTATCTTTAAGGTGCACACCAGTTTCGGACTGTTTTTTGACAATGGTTCTGATCATAGTGTCTGATATTGCAAGGGTATTCATGAAGAATACTTTACATATCCGAGTTTTTTTATTATTCCGAGTCAGATAAAATGAGTGATTGTAATTTTTGCGACTGCTACCTTCACGAACGTATCTATATTTTGGTTCTACCTTGGTCATGTGATCGTGAATAAACTGTCGTTGGATTTCCAGATCACCGCACTCCCAGAACCTTTCAAAGATGTGTTTTCTTTCTTTAAACGTAAACTCTGTAGAACATTTTAATTTACATTTATCGAAACATACAGGACCCATTTTTTTTTTTTTTTGGCATCACAAACTTTCTTAGACTTGGACATAGAAGTATAGGACATATTTTTGTTTTTCAATAGCTTGCTCTGGTTTCGTTTTTATAAAAGCGGTTCTGCTTTTCTTTTACGACACATACTGCGCGATTCATCATCGACACTAGGAGACTGCTCATCGATGCTAGATAGGTGCTGGTCAACACTAGGTGGCTGATCATCAACTCCGGGTGATGGTGAATTAATATTAAGTAACTTCTGGTTATCCACGGCTGATTGCGGAAAGTCTCGAATGCCAGGTAACTGTGCTTGTGGTTGTTGTTCTTCATCGGAATCTGACTGGGCTTTGCGGTTTTCAGAAAATGGATCTTCATACGTAGGATCTTTGACACTATCATCGGATGAGAAATCTTTTAGGTTATTTGTAGAACTGGAGCTACTTGAAGAACTAGAACTGAAACTGCTCGAAGAGCTAGAAGATTCATCAGAGGAAGAATCACTGTCCGAATCTGTTTCTTTAATGACTAAAGATGGTTTATTGAATATTCTGTTATTTGGAGGCGTTGTTTGAATGTCTTCGTTATTTTCAACGGAGTTCAGAATATCTAAAGATAACTGACTGTCCGGTAGAGAGCTAACGCCATTAGCATCATATTCATGATAAATAATATTGTCAGTCTGAATGTTAATTGAATCCAGTTCACTAGGTCGTATTGTTGAAGAAGATTGCTGTTCATCTCGAGGGTCATTTATTGGTGATATCATGTAAAAAATACGTTGCGCTCTTCTTGCCATTCTGAAATAAAAATTAATTATAAGTACCTACCTGTATCAAACAATTTACTTTCTCGTAAATAGGCGTTATTTTGTATCTATATGGGTAAGTAAAATTTAATTGGTTTTAAGATTTCTAAATTATTTTGTTTAACCCATAAGATTACTCCAAAAACTACAAAAACTTTCAGATAAAACAACAGTAAAACTAAAAATTGCTTTTTAATATATAAAATAAAATCTATTTAGAGATCACTTTCAAATACAAAGATACCATATTTTGAAATATGTAACTTTAGAATAAAAAAATAAGAAAATAATTCTAATTATTTTTTGCAAAACTAACATAATTCAAAATATGGTAGTATTGCATACAAAAATAAGACAGAATATCAAATTTATAAGATACCTACTTACGTATATGTGATCTGCAATACGAATGTATTTTTGAATGTGGCACTTTTGAATATATAATTTCACCTGTCTTTTCGCAGTTTTTTGGAATGTGTTAGTTTTTTATAAAAAATGCGTGCACTCGTGCCGAATGTCTGATGGCAACTGAGGATATGGTAGTTTTGCACGGAACTCAGTTACAGAAACGGTACAAAGCAAAACTAACGTATGTGGGTTTACGGGTGCTTTTGATCATAAAACGACGGCTGGTTGAGCAAAATATTAAAATTACATCGGTTAAGATGCATTTTATGCAAAAAAAATCAGTTTTGATATTTTTTGGAATGTGTGACTTTTGTATTTAAGGAGCGATATATTCTATCAATTGCCTTAAACAAATTACACTGATTTGATTCATCAAAGCTAAATGTTGTAGAGACTGCTATAGCAGTAAAACTTACCTGATGGACGTGACATTTTTAATTTTTAGCTATTTGGTAAATTGAAAGCCCTAACAAGTCCTTCAAAAAGACAACAAAAAGTTTTTGAAAAATTGAAAAGTTTTGACTCCAACATTATACCACCATGCTGGAAATCTTTACAACAAGAAATTTTAATAACTATTTTTGTTAATTCCACGTGGCTTATTTCAACTGGGGCAGAATGTTTAAAATTCCAGCCAGCAAACTGTAGTTGATATTTAGATGATTATTTAAAACCAACAGGATTTATTGGGGACCAAACGCCTTTGAAAGTGCAACAAGTTCTTGAAGTGACGGAAGGTGATGACGAATGTAGCACAGGCAATAATGCAGGCAACATTTTAGTTCCAGTAATGTAATAAAAAATGACATGGAATAAAAATTACTAATTATTGGAATTAATATTTTACAAATGTAATATTTATATTTCGCTGTAGAATAATAAAATTGTTTTACTAAATAAAATATGTTTAAAGTCATTTTTTAATTATTAATTAATTATATTCTGGACAAAATTATATCGGGCAAGTCTTGTATATATAACCTATTAAAAAAATTTTATTTTATTTTATATAATAAATATATCAGTGAAGGTCTCTTTATTGGATCTTAGACTATATCATTCTATAAAGAAGGTTTGGCTGTTAAATTAATACTTTTTTATAAAATATCGTATATTTATATAGTTACAAAAAATACATTAGTTTTAATCCAAATAAATATATAAAATTTGTATTATGAATATTTGAGATATAAGTGCAGCATGTTGACGTGATATGATGACGTTGTATTGCAGCATAATTTAACCTAAAACAAAATAATATCATGAAATTATTAGTATTTATTTTTCAAAAGATAGTTAAACAAATTTTAAAAAAATGTTTTTTTAGTATCTAAAGACCTTCCGCATTATCACAAATACACCGTGGTACATGCCCAATGAACTCATCAATCGCGATTTTCAGACGAAAACTGTCAAAGAAGAAATTGCCAGTTACTCCCAAAAATATGACAGACGACTGCAAAACCACCCTAACAGGCAAGCGAAGGACCTTATGAGGTTCAAGGCAAACAGAAGGCTAAAGCGTCTTACTCCAAGCGATCTACCAACAAGATATTAAATTTTTAAATTTTTAAATTTAATAAAAATTTTTATTTATTATAAACATTATATCAGTCACAAATAATTTTGTTACTAAAATTATGATTTCATAGGTTTTTAATTAATAGTAAAATTATGATTTAATCGGTAATTGTCACTTTACTGTCTTCTGCAAGTCTCTTGTAATCTAATTAAACAATTTATTTATTGTAATTCTAATTACAGATTTTATATAAATGGAATGTTCAAAAAAAATCTTAATATTAGTTTTTTTTTAGTTTAATGCGTCGACAACTAATGGTCATTGGCATGCTACAGTGAATTTTTACAGTCAGGTACCTAGTGTAGTGTGTGTGTAAAGTAATTGTCTTGATACTTAGCAAAGTCGACGTCATTGTCTTTGCTAAGAGACGCTAATTGTATACGAACGTCTGCGGCCCTCCAGTGAGTACCGATCGCACAAGCATAGAAATTATTTTCATTCATTAATTTTTAATAAACGAAAATTTCTCCACCCAGGTGAGATTCGAACTCACGACCTTTAGGTTCAAAGGTAGCCGCTCTTACCACTGAGCCACAGAGGGGGTTAGTTAATTTTTAAATTCATGAATATTGGTTTAAAACTTTAGAACAGACTGTATCTGTGGTGTGTATTTATATGTAAGTCATAACATGCTGTTTTTAAAACAACTTATCTGACTCCAGGGTGCCGGTGGCTCAGATAAGAGTTGTATCTGGCCAAGATTAATCGTAGTTGGTCTCAAGTTGCTAAGCCACGTGTGTGTGACCAGGGGGGGTTAACTTGAATAGTCTTGTCAACGACAACGTTTTTAGTAATATTTTCTAGCAAAGATGTCACTCCAGGTAATGATTGATGGTGACCTGTAATTTTTAAAAAACACAAACAGTGTCATCTGTCATCCGCATATCATCCAACGGATTGTTGAATATTCAAATCTCGTTTTTATTGTGATAAATGTGATTCTTGTCTTATAATCTGTGTTGTGATCCAAATTCAAAGACGATATAATATATGTGTCATCCTATGCAAATATAAATGTATGTATAATTCTTCTTCAATAACCTATGTATATTCTTTTCAATAATGATATTGTGTATGTTAATAATGAGTCAGATAAATTTTGATATTTTCACGTTTGTATTACTATAGTTAAAATTGTTATTTTTCTTTGGACATTGTTATTTGTATTTTATGTTTTTATATCTCCACCACCACCATAAATAAAACTCTTGTACTATATAGAACATTTTAATTTTTTTCCTAGCTTGAGTGAGATTTAACCTTATTCTATCTTTCTTCTGTCATATGAACTATGAACTTCACATTTGCCAAATAGAATTTTTATGATTTATTTACTCATTGTTAAAATTATGTTATGCAAATGTGTGAAATAAATTACAGCAATAATGGTTTGTTTTATAACCAATAAATTTTAATTCCTATAATTTAATAGGACTTATTCAAGATGGTGGTAAAAATAAAATTCTTTGCATCCGAACGTTTCGGTTTATTTCATTTCTAAACAATTTTTAACGAATTTAACTTCAAACACGACCAACACACTTGTATTGTTAAAAATGTGATAGATTGAAACGTTCAGACGGATATATTTTTATTTTTACAATTTATCTTGACCGTGTCCCTTTAAATTATAGAGAATTCCTACAATAATTTTGAATTTCCCGCGTCATATAAATTTGAATTTCCCGCTTCTCATTAACAGATTTCTGTCTTCTTTTTTTTGGCCTTAGTTAAGGTAAGTTAAAATTATTAGCATTTAGTGTAGAATTTTACCGTAGAGGGCGCTGTAAATCGTATCGGCAATTTTTAACATTAAGGTTGGCGATCTTCTTGTCTTATAATCTGTGTGTGTGACGTTTTCTCAAAAATACAGTGAACAGTGTTATATTTCGCGAGATATTCAATACCCGGTATAAATAAACATTTTTGTAAAACAAACTCGTTTATTTCGTTACAGTTTTTGTGCAAAATATTCTGTTGTTATTACGTTTGTTCGTAGAGCGGTTGAAAACCGTTGGCAATCATCAGACGCATGCGTAAATAAAATATTGTGTTCGTAGTAAAGTTTCGGACAGTTTGCAGTTGATGATTTGGTGTTTGTAGTAACAGAATTAGCAGTCCCCTGACGGTTGTGAACGGTCCGAAAATTTCCGTACTGTTTCATGAATTCATAGTTTGAGATATGCGCAGATCCACAATTTCATAAATGCAAATAACCGATAACACAATATAACATACATAACCTTATTTTTGATATATTCATTTGGTATATATCATAATTATCATTAATTACAATTGTGAAAAACAATTTATTAAAAATGTCAGATTCCATTGACTTAACCGAAATAAACCATGAAGAAGGTGAAATATTTACTTCAAGCAGTGATGAAGAATTGCAAATTTGGTTTTATAGAAATAAAAGAACTAAAACGAAAATTATTTGGAAGACACTGTTCCGCTATACAGTGAAGAATTATTGATAGAACATTTTCGTTTGAAACATGAAATATTCAAAGTCTAATAAGAGAAGGAAAGGTCCATAATGTTATTTAAGTAATATGCAGTAATACTATTGAAACAGTAAAATTGAGTTAAGTAAGATCCTGCTTGTCTGGAGGAGACAATAACTGTTCTCAACAATATGGCGTTGCATTTATCGTACACAAAATTATTGATAAATCTCTAGGAAACTTTACCTTTAATCCGAAACGATAGCGCTACTACAACTTAAATATAAGAACACTATATGTACATAATGTAATACAAGTTAATAAAAAAAATTTGTTTAATTTACCAATGTTTGTTTTTAGAGAACGATTTTCGTAGAAAAGTCGAAAAGTGGAAATTGAAACGTAAATAAACGTATTTTAACCTTTAATTGTGGCTTATTCTCATTTCTTATAAAGAACAAGAATAAAGGACATCACAAAAAGCCTCAGGAAACACCACATCAACAATATAATTAGGCCACTTTACTCCAAAAATCGACCAAGAAAAAGTAGCTAATATCACAGGATAATCCTCTAATACAATTTTGCCAAGAAGAAGAATATGTAATATCACACACCTGGTGTAAACTTCCTCCCATGCTAATCTATACATGGAAATCACCTCAAGACAATAATCAAATTATTGAAGGAATTTAATTGATTTTGCTTTGATTAATTATAAATTTAAATCAAATATCCAGAGTGCAAAAACCTATTCAAGTATGGATTTAGGATCAGACCACACCTCAGTTGTTATTAATCCAGACAAAAACTAAAAACAATAGACCGAAACAAATCAAAGAAGTGCAAATTGAAATACTTTGAAACCAAGCTAATAAAGAAAAAGTAGCAAGCAAACTTAATGAAGACCCGAAAAAACAATAATAACAGAAGGCAAGGAAATATAATATATATGGCAAACCATAAAAAATACCATAGTTGGAGTACAAAGGGAAGAACTTACGAATACGAAAAGTAATAAACGTAAAAAATGAATGACAAAAGATATTTTGGAACTCATGGAAGAGAGAAGAAAACACAAAACAACCTGCTCCTTTATCAAGAAATCCAAAAAGCCATTGATTCAAAAATTAAAGAAGTAAAATAAAAATGAGGAAAGAAAGAAGAAAAACATTATATATTTAACTTTTACAAAAAATTAAGAGAAACCTTTAATAATAAAAAGAAATACAATGTACGCACTGTAGCTGACAGCAAAGAAAGAATAATTATAGAAAGAAGCGAACAACTTCAAGTATGGAAGAAATTTATTGAAAAATTCTTTGAATGGCAAACCTGAATTGCAACAGAAGTGCAATAGAGGTAAAATATACGATATAATGTGCAAAGAATTGGAAAGCCTACAGAACAGTTCAGACTGGCACAGAAGCTCTTCTGTACCGTCGCTCTGATGAGTCCTAGTGGGTCGATATACATATAAGCGAATATACAGAGACACTTTACGTGAAATCAAATTTTAACTGTCTTTTCTTTATATTTTTTTACTTTCTACGAGTATAAGAAACCATTTCACAAAAAGTACGTGCTTAAATAAATTGATATATTGTGAAATGTAATTTCAGATTCTCTATATCGGTCCTTTCATTGTCTGTTTTGACATTTTGACATTTTGACATTTGTAATTTAGAAATGGCACAGCTTTAAACCAAAAATCTGAACTTTAGTTTCGACAACAAAGAAATTTTTGGATTTCTACTTTTTGTTTTTTTCCAATATGTTTGCAAATGTTACAAGTCTAAGGGTTACGATAAATATTGTTTGAAAAATAAAAATATTCTTACCTATCTTTTTCCCGATTTGTAATAGGCATCGTTATTTGGGTTCATTTGTTTAGATCTGTAATCTTGATCGGCTTTGGACATACTGGAAGATGAACTTTTGTATTTGTCTAAAAACAAAAACAGGCAATGAAAAATTTAGATAAAATAACTATTGATTTTAGCTACAGTAAATAGTGGACCAGTAATATTGTCTAACAGCACATTTATTAATTAAACGGATGTTACAGGTTCCCCTGAAACAGCGTATTTATGATTAAGAAACAATACCTCGTATCTCCACTCTTATTTAATAATGAGTTTATTGCGGCAAACTAATATACACTTAAATATGTAACAGTTTGCAATACCCGTTACGTCGAACATTTACAATAATCTCTAAAAAAACTCGTATAACAAGGAAGTCACAAAATAATTCGTATCTCCATAACTGTCAGAAAGTTTTGAGATACATGCTATTTCGGCGGGAACTAATTGCACGTGGATAGGATACAAGATATTTTATCAGTCTAAATTACACTGTCGTGTGGCTTGGTTATACTTTTATTTGTTTATACTTTTGTACTTCTAAGTGAAAAATATGAACCAAAATCGAGATAATAAAAATATTTTTATGTTTAATAATGAAGAAATCATGGAAGCTTTAAGAATAAATGAATATGGAGTGAAAATAAAATGTATTATTTCTGTTTATTATCAAATAATTAAATATTGTAGAATAATCTCACCGTTTATATATTTTTTTTATTTTAATAACGCATCAACCACGCAGGGTCATTAGCGTATTTAGATTAATGTGACAGTTGATACAATTAATGTATATACATACGTTTACTATAATAATATGTAGGTGTATTACAATGTACGTTTTAGATCTGTTGAAATAGTTGACAGTCTTTAAGATAAGAAAATATTTTCTTTGTTTGGATTTGATTTCTCTTTGAGAAACAGATTGCTTTCGTTTTTGAAGTGTTAAGCTAAAGTTCACTTCTCAATTTCTCAATTTGTGTTAACGCTTTTTGAATGTGATTGTGAATCGTTTTTATATTTTTTCCTTTACAGAAAATAACTAAAGTCGTCAGCGTATAATCTAGCTTTGACGGGGTTTTCAATTTGTGTTAATATCAAATTTATTGCTACTAAGAATAAAGTTGTGCTTAAGTTTGATCCTTGTGGTATACTATTTTGATGAATTTTTGTTTTAGAATACGTTCCGTCAACTCGAACTTAAAGTTGTCTGATTTCAAGAAAATTTTAAATGTATTTTAATATGTTTCCTCTTATTAACTAGTTGCTGAGTGTTTTAATGATTAAATATTTTCAAACTGTATCAAGACAACAATGTTGCCTAAAGTTGAGCGATGTTTTCGGCAACCACATTGTTGTGGAATAATTAATTTGTTTGATTCTAAATACTACATAAGCCCATCGTTTATTACCTTTTCTAATACTTTGCCTATATTACGGCAATGTGAGTAATATCGGTCGGTATGTTTGTGAATCTGATTTTGGTTTAGTTGGTTTTAGAATAGGTATTATGATTAAATTTTTCCATGATTTCGGAAACACGTTTCGAGATAGGATTATATTATAGATTTTCAGTAGAAATTCTTTAGATTGGGGGCCTAAATTATTAAGAAATATAAACGGTATATTGTCGGGTCTAGGACAAGTTTTCTTACAATTCTGAAATACATTTTTTAATTCTTCCTCTAATATTGTTATATTCAGATTGTTTTGATCGTAATATTCTATAGGATTGTTTTCTTCTATTATTTTAATATCTAAAAAATTGGAAGTATAATTTAAATAAGTTATTTAAAATATATTCATAAGTAGATGCTAGTGTATTGGATATTTCTTCTGGGCTTTTATAAATAGTGTTATTTTGAGTTAGAAAGTTAATTGATTTATGTAATTTGGATCTAGAAATGTTGTTGACTTTATTCCATATAGTTGTTATAGGGAGTTGAACTATGTATTGTGGTGACATATTCTTTCCAAGAGTCACGTTTGGCTTTTTAATGGTATACCTAGCGACTGCTTCTAATTTTTTAAATTCTATAGAGTTTTCTTAAGGTTTGTGTCGTTTGAATTTATTAAAAGCTTGTTTTGATTGTTTTTAGTTAGTCCAACATACTTGTTTGCTGATTCTGTGATTACGTTTGTCAGAGAATACATTGTTTTGTCTATATCTACATTTTCGTTTAAGTTTTGCAGATTGTTTTCGACGTAATTTTGAAATTCTGTGATTTTAAGTTTCATTTTAGTTGTTGCAAGGTAGTTGATTGTAGTTCATTGCTTATTATGATAGGGTAGTGATAACTATCATATAGATCTGGTAACATATCCCACGTAAGAGTATGTGTAGTTGATGGTTCGCAAATACATAGATCTACACTAGAGCCTTCACCTGTTCTTATGTAGAAGCGCATATGTTGTCCGTCGTTAAGAATATTTAAGTTGACTTCTTCTATTATTTTTTCCATTTTCGACCTATAGATGTTAGTTTTGCTGAACCCCATAACGGATTATGTGCATTGAAATCTTAAAATATGATGCATGGAGCAGGTAGTTGATTGAATAGGTTTGAAATTTCTTTTTAATCGGGTTCTTTATTAAGGGGAATGTAAATATTGCAAATTGAAAAATAAATTGTGTCTGTGACTCTAATTCGAATTGTTTCGATAGTTGTTGTGAGTCTTATTGGTTAAGCATCAAAGTTAGCTTTTATGTAGACTGATATCCCTCCGCTAGAAATTTTCTCATTTTCTCAATTTCTAAAGAAATAATTAAAATTCTTTAAGTCATGAGCTTTGTCGTTTTTGAAGTTGGTTTCTTGTAAACATATTGAACTAGATTTATGTTTTAAAATTAATAATTTTAACATTTCTAAATGGGTTTAATACCCATTTATGTTCCATTGAATTAGAGACTTGAAAATGATATATTAATAAGTTTCTGTAGATGCGTCGCTTTATAAGTCTATTTTAAATCTCTGAGTTAATTTGCTTTAATGTTTTGTTTTTTATTCGAGTGCATTGAATTTTAATTTTTCGGTCCTTCAAGTATAAGGTAGACTTGTTGATATCAACTAAGTTCTCGTAACATTGTCTCAGGACCAGCATCCTCCTGTAGAGTATTACGTTATCATGTGATCAATTTTACTTGTAACTTTAACATCATAACAAATAATATCCAATAATGTAACCTAAATTAAAATTGTTAATCTCAAAACATGTACACCTAGACACACTGATGATGGGGTATAGATTCCAAAAAGATTTTGTGATGTAGCCTGATTGGGTGTTTTAATTATACACCTTTTATAAATGAGTTTAAATAAATATTTTGTGATACATGGTATACAGCCAGCTACAGGAACTTAGTTTCCTTGTGGTATAAAATCTACACGTCCACAAGTTTGTATTAATAATACTCCCATTCCTATAAAACCAGTTGTCAAATACTTGGGTCTGCATCTGGATGAAAAACTTACATAGACAACGCACATTAAAACTAAACGAAAACAACTATATCTTAAACTGAAAGAAATGAACTGGCTATTTAACAAAAGGTCTTAGTTTTCTCTTGAAATTTAACTGCTTCTGTACAAAGCTATTATACTTATTCCAGTTTGGTCATATGAAATAGAACTTTGAAGCTGTAGTAAACCTTCAAATACAAAGATACTTTAAACATTTCTATCCAAAATACTCCGTATGATAAGTAAAACTCCATGGTATGTATCTAACCAAACACTTCCAAATGATCTGAACATTCCATTACTTAAGGACATAATAAAGATTCACCTAATAAAATATAAAAATCGTACCACTGATCACAACAACGAACTGATAAATAGTTTATTTACCCAACCAATTGCCGAAAGAAGATTGAAGAGAGTATGGCCAGAAGACCTACCGCAGTATTACTTAGAGAACCGTCACTTGACGGTACCTAACTCACGTTAATTTACTTACAGACTATTTACTTATTTATATATATATATATATATATATATATATATATACTTCATTTAATTTACTTACCGTTGCACGTCATCCGCGTTCAGGTCACATGCTACCAACACGAAATATTTAGGCGGTAGGTGTGTTCTTTTTTAGAATCACTTTACCGACTACACTGGCATTACAGCCACAAGACATATTTTATCATATACGCGTTGAAATAATATTTATACCCGGTTCGCTATTCCCAGTCCGAACTGTCTAGTGATTTTAGTAATTATTTTTTTGCGAAGTTAGTTACTTTTTGACAGACTCGAAGTGGCTGGAAATTACTATACAACCAAGCATACGTGCTCTTAGTCAATATTGATGTAAACAAAAGTAAATAAAATAGAACTTTGCTGACAATCAATATTTATTTATTTACACCGTATAATGTATTGATAGCAAATAATAAAATTATTTATTGTACAAAATAAAAAAAGTGGGAATAAATTCTACAAAATTAAAAAGTCAAAGTGAGGTTAAATAAGACATAGCAAGTTCCTTATGTTGTGACTAGGATGGAATCAATGATTGAAGATTAACAGTTCATTGGATAACATTAACATAAACTGTTGTTTTATTATCTTACAAAATAAGTGTACTTCCATATGCTAAAAGCAAATATTAGTAATTTGACTAGGCAAATTCGTGGTTCAATAGTAATTTTTGCTCATTAGCATTTGAGGATGTTAAAATCTTCCACATATGGTGAATGAATTCAGTGTCCTGCACAGACCACTCCAGGTGATCTGTGGTGTCCTGGCCGCAGTCTGCAGTCATATAAACCCAAACAAACAACAAAAACCTCCATGTAAGTATAAACAAGTTTATATTAAATTAGAAACAACTAATCTAAAAATATTAACTTTTAAAAAACATTTTATCATATTTATTAAGAAAAACTTAAAACCAACGCATTAGCTGATGGAACAAATGGAAAACTTGAACTATCCATAATAATAAAATTTAAAATATAACTAACCAATTAACTGAATAGAACTAACAAAAGAATTAAA